CCTGCACTCCCTGAGCACCCAAGGGGAGCAGTCCTGCACTCCCTGAGCACCAGGATATGAGCACAGCACTGAGAAGCTGCTCTAGGCAAAGCCACCATACTGACAGGACTGCACACTCACCACACCTCAAGGAGCATTCTGCCAGCAAGGAAAGACACCCCTGGGCTGTCCTGGCTGGCAGCTCTAGCACAGCTCAGGCCTTTGATGGCCCAGCAGCAGGACAACAGCCCAGAACTGATCCCTACAGAGCACTCTGTGCAGCTTGGATATTGCAGTCAGGCAGGGCCTGCACAGCTTTTACTTACACAACCATCAGAACTGAGGCCTGTTAGTGGGAGAAAAATAATTTCTATTCAATGTGAACAAGCAGGGGAAAACAAAGGATTAAAATTAAAAATATTTTAAAAATTCACTCCACCCAAAAAGCCCATAGCAACTGCCAAGGAAGGTTTGCCTGATACAAATGAAGACACAGTAAACAAGATTTTACTGTCTTTAGTAACCACTCAGTTTACAGCTGAGCTTTATTTGGCCATTTACTATCACACCAGTAAGTACTTAATCTACTCTTTGCTGAGTGAACTGATTGAAAATGCATTTGGAGCTGTACCAAAGGATAAAGCAAGAAGGAAAAAGATCCATATACCTAAGGGAAAGAGAGGATTGAAAGCCTGTGCCACAAAAAGGATCCCATCACTTACCTTTCCTGCTGCTCTGCCACTGCCAATCGATCTGCATCTGGATCAGTGGCCACTACTACTCTTGCCTCTTCTTTCTCTGCAAGCCTCAGTGACAACTCCTGGTGGGAGAAGGAGGAGAGGGCAGAAAACCCCAAAATGTAAAAGCAAATAAACCCACAGCCTTCCTACTTACATCTAACACCCAGTGAAAGACAAATCCCCCATGGATTGCCCACTGTATGAATCCAGCTGAGAGCAGCTTCTCCCTGTTCTCCTCCTCACTTTGTGTTTCCCCACAGAAACCTGATGAAGCAGAAAGCAAAATACCAGCACAGATTCTCCTTCTTCAGGATTTGGGCATTTGACAGTAGAGAAGTCTGGATCTGGATCTTTTTGCTCAGGTACTGGGATGGGGGGCTGGAATCCAAAGGCTTTGAAAGCCAACTGCACGTAGTCATGTCCCACTCCATGGAAAGAGGTGTGGACAAACTTCAGACTGGTCTGCACATTCAGCTCCCTGAGGGGGAAACAGAACTGCAGTGAGATGCCAGCTATTTAACAAGGCTATTTGCACGAGGGAAAGCAAAAACTGCAATTGCCCTGTGCACTCTTCTGTTGTTTTCTGCATCAATTTCAAAGGAACGAGTGAAACTGCTTATTTTGCACTAGAAATTGCTGGCTTAAAGCTTCTTCAGCTGACACACAGCTGACTTAGAAGCATAACTTGGGTACCTTTTGCTTTATACAATACCTGTGATAGCAGATCTTTGTCAGATCCTGCATGTAGCTGTCACAAATTTTCTTCAGAGGATCCTGTCTGAGGGGACTGGTGTCTACCAGATTTTCATTCCAGGAGCCATTCCATGGTTCAACACACTCTTCTATACATTTTATAATTTCCTTATCATGAGGAGAGGTGATCTGTGCTCCATTTTCCCAATAAACCTGGGGTAAGTTGAAGGAAACAAGACAGTTTATTTATCAACATTATTAACCTGATAAATTCTTTTAGCTATAGGGTTTTACCAACTGTCTCCCTAAGTCATAGAGAGAAGTCAGCATCTGACTGGCTCAGGACATATGCAATCATTCAACATGAACCCAAGTTCACAACAGTTGTGATAAATGGAGCTTACACAGCAACACAACCTGTTTTCACAAAAGCTGGTATTTACCAATTACAGCTGAAATATCAGAATGTGAGAAACCAAAACTGGGCACTTCTATCTGGGAGTGCTGTGCAAACTGCAACAACAGAAAAATATCACCTTCTTCAAGGCTGGCATTCCTTCTGAAAATGAAGCAGAACTTGTTTTTGAACCCAAAGCAAAACAGATAAGCAGTGTGCCAAGGTCCGTGTTTTTCCACAGCTGAACAACTGTAATCTCTCAACTGGAAACACTCTCTGGAGTGGAAACACCATATCTAACCCTCAACTATAAAAAAAAGTATTTGTTGAAGATTTAGAGGCCAGTTTTCCCACAGTCTGTTGCCAATAGCACAGACTCTGCCTCTGTTTTCTCCTCAGTGTCCTCTGGGTTTGTCACCTTTGGTTAAAATTGTCCAAAACCTTCAGAAGCTGCTGAAATTCACACAGGAAATTGTGAAAGATGAAACAGCTCTTGGGAAACGCTAGGAAACACATCAGTATCCTGACAAAAGTAAACTGCTGTGTATCACAAAAGATGAAATTGCTTCTTGACAAATGAAGCACCTGGGAAATTGATGTGGCTTTTTCCTTACTCATTGCTCCTGCTAAGCAGAAACAAAGGCTGGGGGAGAACTTCACAACTTGTTCCAGGGAACACAAGATGAGCTCAATCACCCCCAAAAGAGTTGTCTCTGGGCATGGCAGGACTGCCTCTCCTCACATGGCCATCACTCACTGACCTGCCACAGGGCTTCTAGAATGCTCAGCTAAAGTTGAGAGTTTAGTTCAGCTGAGGAAGGAAATACTCAGTTAAAACATTGCACTTGCTGTTCTGGGTGGTTTTATTGTCCCAAGCTTTCAAAGTGAAGCCACCCACTCCTCTTCAAAGCCCAGAAAACCAGGGAACAACATAAGGATACTGTGGTTTATTAATCCACTCTTAAATCATTGCCATCTTCAGCACAGTCCCCTACTGTGTGCATGAATTCACCTCAGTTCTGGCTTCGGTTTAAACTGAGCTTTAAGCCTCAGAAGTGAATTGCTGGAGCATTTCTTCAGCTGCTGATCAGACTCTAAAGAATGTCATTACAGGCTGATGCTCAAGACACACCAATGGCCTGGCCTTATGTCCTCATCACAGACCAGTGTGGCAGGTTATGGAAGCATGAACAACTTGACATAACTTATCCTGCTAAAGCACACACACAAAAAAAGCTTTTCCACCCTGAGATTGGGGAGGGAGGCCCTGGCATTGGCTGCCCCATCCCAGAGGGCTCCAAGGCCACGCTGGCCAGGGCTTGGAGTGACCTGGGACAGTGGAAGGCGTCCCTGCCATGGCAGGGGTGGCACTGGGTGCTGAGTTTAAAGCCTTTTCCAGCCCCAATTCCCAGGCTCACCTTGTAGCCATTGTCCTCCTTGCGGTTGTGGGAGGCTGTGATCATGACCCCAGCCACAGCCCCCAGCTGCTGCACGGCATAGGGCTGCAAAGGAAGCAGACACAGTCACCCACGGCTCCTGACACCGACCCTGCAGCACAGCACAGCCCTGCACCACGATCACACAAAGAGGTGCCTTGAACCCTGCACCAGCTCATCTGAAAGCTGCACACAGGAACACCCGCACTGCCTCCTGCAGTACAAAGTTGGTTCTAATTCTTCTCCACAAAAACATTCTTTATCTATTACAAAAATGCAGACATAAACAAAGTCTGCATTCAGATTACAGGAGCACTTGGAAAATAGGCTGAAACAGAACAAAGGAACTCACAAAAAGGCTCACTGAAAAACAAATTATAGGTACTCCAGGCATTCCAATCCTCCCCTCAAAGAAAGATCCACAGCATGCTAGAAAGGCTTATGGAATACAAACATGGATTTAAAACCATGCAAGGAAAAGATGCTGTGACTAAAAAAGTCTATTTCTGAGATGTTAAAAGCAGAGGCACTGTGAAATTCAGCAACATCCTTGTTCCAGCCTCCTTTAAGAGCCAAGTGTACCAAGCAGCCTCTATTTTTCTGTTAAATAACAGAATTTAAGAAAATTGCTGTTTCTCTTTTTCAGTGAATTCAAATATCCCTTAACTGTGTGGTACAACCACGTGGAGGAGAAGGTGACTTACCACGAAGGGAGTAGGGACATAGGTGGAGAAGAAGTACACAAGTACATCTTTTGCCAGCAGGACTGCTGCAGTGAGCTTTGCAAGCCTACCGAGAGGAAAAAGAAAATATTCAGTCACTGCAATTCCCCAGGGCAGCCCAACAGCCAGATGGAATCCCTGCCACCCCCAGGCATTTGTTTCTTCAAGCACTCCACTGCTTTTTGACTTGTGCTTAGAGTGGTGTCCTACAAATGGCACAGTCAGGGTAAGAGTTCTCAGGCTGCAGAATCTGAGCCAGCACTTCCAGCTGCTGCCTGGACAGTGCAGGGCACTCCAGTCCCTCACCCAAACCAAGCAGATATCCCACACAAAGACACAGAACCCGCTGGCAGAACACTCATCCTTTGCTCAAGGACAGAACCAACTCCCCAGAGAGTCTCAAGTCCCAGAGGTCTGCAAGCAGCAGGTCTGGAAAAGGATTTGGTATCCCACACAAAGCTCCTTTGCCAGCCCTGCTCAGCAGCTTCAGGCAATGCCCAGGAAGCAGATCTGTTGCTAAAATATATTTCTGCAAAGCAGCACCCCTCATCCCAGAACGTTTACAAACAGGAACAGTGCCCATAGTTCTAAGCCCCACTTGATTACAAACTTGCCCTTTCAAGCACCAGGGAAGCTCATTCTCTTCCAGGCAGCTAAATAGAAGTTTGATATCATACTTCTTTAGCACTCAGCAGATAAAGGCAAGTCTCAGAGTCCAAACAGATGAGATATTGAATGGTATAAGCAGGAGCTGAGGTGCAGCTTGGACATGTGAAACAACTGTGTTAGCACCAAGCCTGAATTCCAGCCTTTGTGTGGTTAAAGAGGACCATCACTCCCACACCTCCCCATTTTTAGACTGGGCCTATCCCACACAGTCTGGGCTTGCAAACACTGTCACAGGTGAGTTTAAACCCCTGGTGCCAAAGCCTGGGGGATAATGGGCCACACATATGCTGAGGCCCAGGGGAGAGGTGAGAGTCACTGGATTCTGGGCTCTATTTTACCAAGGACTTCTTCATCCCTAAAACATTCAATACTACAAAATATAAAAAAACCCAGAACTGTTAGTTACAGCAATAGCTACAACAATTAACTTCTCTTTACCTCATTAGCTAGTGGATTGGCTTTTTTGCACAGCATGCCATTACCACATGAGTTTCAGTCCCAATGACAAGGGATTAAGATTCCTTAGAGAACCGAGTAAGCAGTTTTCTCCCCTACCCTTGCAAAGAGCACAATTTGCCATTGCTGGAAGTGTACATTTTAAACATTGCAGGTAAAAACCTCTCAAAGTGAAAATACACTGGGTTACAGCAGGCTGCAGGTGGAATTGTTCTCCCCCAAGCAAGCTTAAATCAGGTGAGAACAACAGTGTTCAAAGTACATTAATATTTAAGGGTTTCCAGCTGGATGTTAATACTCTGAATTTACCTTCATATGCAAATTTGTCTCCAGGCATAGTAAGCCTAATGTTCTTGTGCATTTAATCTGTGAATTCTCTGGTGGAACAAGCAGCCTTACACTCCTCCTTTGCTGGCAAACTGGTACCACAAAGGATTTATTCCCAGCCTCTCCTCATTACTATTTCAACAGACTAAGGGACAGGAGAGACCGTGCCCAGTTCATCACAAACAAAAAGAAAAAGAGCTGATAGGACAGAACACATTTAAAGCCACAATTTCATTTCTAGTCTTGCAAATGTAATCAATACTCATACTTCTTACTGCTGCAGTTGCTGGTGACCTGACCTCGTGTGTCATATCCAACAACAAAGCCTCTCTGCTTAAAGTCTGAAAAGTTCCTCTCAAGATACTTGTAGATCCCCTGGAGGGAAAAAAATAAAAAAAAGAGAAAAGAAGAATTAGCTGGACTGCAGCACACACAAACATTAAAGGCTCTTTCACAAAGGATGGATAATGTCAGTAAGTAAAATACAGCTCAGATACATCAATAACAATATTCACAAAAGCAGCAGTTTTCCCCCAGTGATCACTGAAAGAAAGCAAGTAACCATAATAACTGTTGTGGGAAATAACAGTGAGTAGGACAACAACAAACCCCCAAGAAGCAAACACTCATTTTCAATCCATACTGTGTTTCACTTATTCAAATCCATCTTCTCAAGACTGAATTGAGAAAAATCCATATTTTGGAGGTCCATGCCCTCAGGCAATGTAAGATGTGTCAGTCTAGTCTTTATCTCTCTGCCCACAGTACAAGTCAGACATTTTCAACATCGTGTCCAAAGTGTTAGTCCTACATTAAAACCAGGGAATGCTTTGGGTGGAAGATCAGCTTCTACTCCAGTTTCACCTTCCCTGCAGCCTTCACATCCATCCACTCCCAGCAGAAGCTCTCTGAAGATCCAGCAGGGAAGCAGCCCAGCCTGGATCAGCAGTTTCAGATCAAAAGATGGAAGCACTGTTGTTAATGGAAGTTTCCAGAGGCTGCAGCTGCCCACCACCCAACAACAGAGCACAGAGAACTTCACAGAGCCACGCTGGTCCTACCAATGCTGCCTCTTGATGGCAGTGGGGCTGCTCTGTACCAGAATTACACAGATTTTCCCCCCAACCAGTACCTACTGCAACCCTTCAGGACAGATTTTTTTTCTGTCTGGATATCTGAAATGCCAAGCTGACTCCTACCCTGGAATAGAGCCGAGATCCATTTCCTTCCATGGCTTTGGCCCTTTAGGATCACAGAGGGTAAAGGCTGGCAAAGGATGTGCTCCAAAGCATGACCTGCTGGATACTGGCACCTCTTTGGAGAGCCCTCTCAGCTGCAGACTTGGAGGGCTTTACACAGAAAGAGGGACTTATTTATTCTTAAAATAAATCTCTTAGAGCAGTGGCAGGTCTGGAGGCTGTGCCATGGATCACCTGCTGCAGACACCCTCACACTGAAGCTAAAACACACTGAATGCTCACCTTGCCAAGAACTACATTCACAGCTGCAAAGAGGGAAGAGAGAAGAAGAGGAAAAACTCCTCAAATTGACTTGAACAACCCGAATAACTTCTAAAGAGATGATTTCTAATAACAGATCCCTGATTTAGGCTAAGGTTTTGTATGAAGAACAAACAGCAATGTCTTGACTTTCTGCTGTGGAGCAGTTTGTTTAAAATTAGTCCCTTAAGCTCAGCCACACACTCCACAGATGAAGTTCACTCAGTCTTAGGGGACTTGCTTGCTATCCAAACATCTTTATGAAAGCTGCAGGAAATAAAAGTAAATCAATGAATGTCAGTGAGGAGACAAATGCAGAGCCTCTCCACTGCTTAAACTCTCTACCTGAGCTGCCACCAGTTAGGAATTCTGGGGTTAAATTCTCTCTTGGAAAAGTTCCTCAATTTGAAGAATTTCTATTTCCCTTGAACAAGACTCAGGGTTTGATAGTGTCCCTAATTGCTACTGCTATTAAATTTCTACCACTTCTAAACAAGGCCCAGGTACATCTCGTGGTGATAATTAATGGCTGATGAGCAGGTGTCAGCACACAGCTGCATAAACCCCTCAGATCTAAGCCAAAATTCTCTTCAGGTGACTGCAGTATCACAATTACCTCTCCCACAGCCAGTTCAGGTGATTTCCCGATGCAAAACCCACGGAACAGAACAAACCTCCATCAACACCATGTCCAGTCCCTCATGCTAAAGCTCAAAGGAGAAGTGAGGGAACAGTGACAGTATCAAGAAAAAGACCCAAAGATTTTTGGTTGATGAAATCCAGAGAGATAAGAACAGCTTTATCAAATCCAGCATTCAAATTTTTCACCTTTTACCTTTAGCTTGGCTTTGTAATCAGCAGTAAACTCCTTGATGCAAACGTGTCTGGTTTTGTCACTGTGGAGGTGGGTGACAGGGTTTTCCCCCACTAATAAAAGCACCTGGACATGCATCAAAGTAGGACAAAAGCCAGGGAATCAAGGCTTTACATGGAGTTTACACACTGGCAATTCTCAGCAGAGCCCACAGCAACTGCTGAATATCCTGGATCTTCCTGGATCCAACTTTTCATAATATCAATATAATCAAATGAAAAAAAAAAACAAAAAAAAACCCAGATCAAATGAAGGACACAGAACACACATTCAACTTACTTTAACTGAAGGAAGTGTTAATTTACACTCAAGTCTATTTGATTGGCCATTTATTCCTGACCCAGGCTAAGGACAAATCCAGAGAGCCAGGGCTGCCCATCTCAGCAGAACCATTCCTGCCCTCAGCTTTGAAACAAGAGTGCCCAAACAAAGATGCAATCTGCTGCAGTTTACTTCAGAAACAAGTTCCAACCCACTCCCCAGAGCCTGCTTTTCCCAGCTCCATACACAGCTTTAATAAACAACTAAAAATAGCAGCTGTGCACAGGGAGCAGATGCACACACCCCCGGTCTGTAACTCCCAAAAACCAGCAATGCCCATGAAACCGAGCTTGCCAACACATGGCCTGTTCTCCCTTTGTGCCAGGAATGTGGCTGAGCCAGCAGAGCAGACCCACGCTGCCTCACACTCTGCCAGCCTGAGCCACAGAGGGAGCAGCAAGGGCAGCACCTCCAAGCCCAGCAGCAGGGAAATGGCCTCCTCTGCTTCCAGGAAAAGAGGGCTTGTTCACAGCAATCCCAGCATGGCAACAGGACACTGACTTCTCCACCCCCTCTTCCCCATCTCCTCAGTCTGCTCCCACTGCATCCACCTGGAGCTGTTCATGCCACTGCAGCATTCCTGGCAGAGGAGGCTGGCACACCTGGGTCAGCAAGGGCACAAGTGAAGGAAGCAGCATTCCAGCATGTGTCCAGTTGACAGGTCAGACACCTAAAGGAAGCTTTTTGTTACACCTGAGGAGATACTGCAGAGCCAAACACTCAGAGAGGAGGCTGGGTTTCAAACCAACACTTCAACACAAAACCTCTATAAACAGCACTGGAGTTTGGCCTCTCCACAACAGTGTGGGCTCCAGTTGTACAGCTCAGACATCAGAATGTCAACAGCTTAGGAGAGTCCCAGCTGTTCCAAGTTCTAAGCACAGCCCTCCATCCTAGGCCAACAGAAAGCATTATTTCAGGCACATGTGCTGAGGGAGGTTAGAGCATCAGCCTGCAAAGAGAAACTAAAAAGTTGAAGTGCACAGCATCAAATGAGGGGTTTTAGCAACCCTTGCTAAACCATGTGACAAAACACCTTTGCTCATATGGCTGAAGCTCCATTTCTACAAAAACTATCCGTCAAGGTAGGTAAGATTCAGTAGTTTTGTCACAGCAAACATTCCATTGATTTTCCAAGTGCAAGAATTCCAAATATATCAGCTCATTCTATTTTCAACAGCCACGGCTCGAGCTGGGCACAAATCAACTTCTCAGTATATGTAATACAGTCAGTCCATATATGTTCACAGCTCGTGCTAAAAACAAAAGAAAAGGCTTGTTTGGCTGGAACTTGGCTTTCTGGGTTTGGGTTATTTTTGCTGTTTCATTTTTGACAAATACTACAAGTTCTCATGGCAGCTCATAAGATTTCCAGCTCCAGGACTGGGTGACAGATCACCCACTGGCCAAATTCCAGCCCAGCCCAAGCCACTCCATTTCCTCCGAGCACGGAGCCTTGCACGCAGCTGGGCTTTGGGGATTGCAGCAGGACCGGAGCTGATGGCAGGGGGGCAGAGCCGTGGCAGGCCGTGCCCAGCTCACCTGGGTGGACTGGATGACAGTGAGGTCGTTGATGTAGCAGAAGCCCGCGCCCATGGCCGAGCGCAGCCCGGCCGTGCCGAAGGAGAGCCGGCAGCACAGGCGCTCCCGCAGCTCCTGGTGCTTCCCGTCCTGCAGCAGCCTCTCGATCTGCTCCTTCGTCTTCTGGTTCTGGAAAACAGCACCGAGGTCTTGGTTTAGTGCTTGAAATCGGGGGCTGAACTGCACACCCTCACCACTTCTAAGTAATCCCTACAGCCAATTCCTCCTATCCCATAAAATGTGCGTGCACCAGCCTCCGCTGTCACTTCTCTCACATCCTTCCCACATTATCCTGATTAACTCAAGATTCAAGAGCTCTTGCTGCCACTGATATGGCAATGTGATTGCCTGGTCATTAAGACACCCTCCAGCTCCTCTGCATGAGAGCACAGACTTTGGAACAGGATTTTCCAAAGCAGATTAAGAATACAATTCAATAATAACACAATTCAATTCCTGATCTCTGCCGCTGGAGGATGGACAAAAATCCCAACTTCAAAGCAGCATTTCCTTCCTCCCCACCCACAGGAAACAGGCACAGTAAAACTGTGGAGATCACAGGGTGGTTTGGACTGGAAGGGACTTTGGAGATGCCCCCATGCCAGCCCCTGCACTGGACCAGGCTGCTGAGCCCCCTCCAGGGTGTTCTGCAGCAGGCCGGGTTCCTATCCAGACTGATCCCCCTGCTCAGCCAGGCTTTTCCTAAATCTGCACCACCGTCACAGCTGGGAACCTGCAAGTGCACAAAGCAGACATTTCACACCTCTACAATCTGTTCCTCATAGTCATCCAGCTAATACCGAATTAACTGGGCCACCGGGACACTCGGGCTGTGTGCTGACACCCAAGGCACTGCCCAGACCCCACAGGCAGCAGAGCAGGGGCGAGAGGCACTGGGGACACAGCTGGAAGAAACAAGGACTGCAGAGGTGTAAAACACGGCTCTGGGGGCACAGGAGCTTCTCTAGAGTGGTGCTGCTTCGAGCAGCGTGGCGAGCAAAGGTCAAACAAGGCAGATGGAATCTGCAGGGAAGGGGTGAAGCACCCCTGACATTTAAAATAGAGGTCAGCCAGCTCCAGCAGCACTGGGAAACACGTTCCACACACAGGGGGAGGTTCTTCAGGACGGGCAAAATGCTGGAAAAGCACAAAGACACGAGCTGTGCACATTCACTGGGACAAAACACAATCAGGAAAACGCATTGAAAAATCTGAAACCATTTCTGCAGACTGATAACAGACCCTGAACGCCAGACATGTGAATTTCAAATAACTTTGTATTCCTGTGTGCTCAAAAAGAGAAGAGGCAAGCCATTATTGTCCTGGATGGGCTGGCAAGCAAAGCAAGACATGGCTCACCAGACAGCTAAACACAGGCCTAAAGAGAAACCAAAACAATGGGGCACAATAGATATTAAATTGCAAAAGTGGAAGTTTCTCTTTCAGCTGTTTGTAGGCAGCCAACCAGAAAACAAATGACTGATGTGAAAAGAATTTAAGGCAAGAGCATTGAAAACCTCATTTCACACTATCATAGTGCATGGCTTTGCTTTAAAATACAGTTATTAAATTACACAGCATCCTCTACAGCTTTTTAGGATACACTGCATTACTTCCCTGCAAAACCAGAACAGAAATCACACATTCCATAGCTCGTGGAGCTTTGCAAAACCGAAGCAATACTCAAGCAATAGCACAAACAAACATTCATTTTAAAATTAGATCAACAAGCATTTTTGACTGAAGCTACTTAACTATTTTCCTAAGAAATAAAAATGAGTTGGCCAAAACAGCACACAAATAACATTTTAATTTGCTCAGGTCACGCTCAGTTAAGCTGAAGCTGCAGAAAATGAAGGAGGAGAAAAAAGTTACAAGTGAAAGTCTCCAAGCTTTCTACAGATGACCTGAAACCCCTGGGCCAGCAGAAAGAGGGAAATCTACAGGAGTGGGTAAATCCTGAAAAAAACCCAAACAAACAAAGGGTTTTGCTGGTTTGCTTGGCAGTTGTGAAATCAAGTCATACATCTGAAGGGTTTTGTGATGGTTCATCTTCCCAAGTGCAAAAAAGAAAAGTTCCTTAGAGATTTTAAACTACAGTGTTTGAATGATTAATATCCTTAAAAAAAACCCCCAACCCTGATACAAAACTGCCTAAAGCTTCCTGTCTTCAGCAGAAATAAACGAGGCTGTTGGACACAAAAATAGTCATTCCTTAAAAAAAGCAGTGCTTTAAGACATGCCTGCATGGCAATGGCCCGAACAAAGCAATTCCAACTCCCAGGAGTGAAGGGCTCAGAGACTGCAGGTTTTCACCTCAAGGCAAGCAGTGTGTGGATGCTGATGATGTGAAAACTGCATTTATTTCAATACCCAAACGGGCCCAATCTCTGCACTGCTGGCCAGCCAGCCTTCCCGGGATGGCAGGGAACATCCCAGCCCTGGCATGGCATCCAGCAGGAGCAGCACCAACTCCTCCTGAGCAGGAAACCTTCAGAGCCCCTCACTGCTGCTGCTTTCAAAGGGTTATTCACTGATGGACAAGGCCCCACATTTGGCTATGCTGACTACAAACTCTATTGCTCCTTGGGAACTTGCAATTAAAACATTACGTCACTTGATTATATTTCTGTTTTGCAAAAAAACCCCACCAACAACAAAACAAATTGACACTTTCAAACCATACCATCAGCACCAAAATTTCTATAGAAAACTCCAGAACATTTATTTCATCATCCTCCTAAAACACTAGGAATATTTCAAATTCATAATATATGCATAAATATTAACCTCTCTAACAGACATAATACACATATATAAATAATATCCACAATAAATCTGTTATAATAGATTCATAATATTAATGTATAATAGAGCATAACGGATTCATATTATAATTCTATATTTAACAGATAAATTATATAATATCAAAGTGTATATAATAAATAAATTATTCTGACCCAATATATAAAACGGCAATATTTAAAATGATATATAATACACCTCCATGTTCTGTCTGGTGTCTGTACAGCACACATCTGGCAATGTTTAGCACACACAGCACAGCCCATAAAGGGCAGGCCAAGGCCACAATCAGCAGCCACCAGCTCCTGCTGGAAAAGGCTCCTGCCCAGGGCCAGCTGCACCAGGAGGTGGCAGATAAGGTGACAGTGGCCCTGGGAGAGGCTGGTGCCACCTGAACACACCCTGCTGGGACAGAAAAGGGAGAGCAGGACATGCTGGCTGCTGTTTGGGCTAGGGATGGGTGAGCTGGCAGTGCCACAGGGAATCCCTGCAGGTCCCTGGCTGGAATTGTCCCCGAGTGTCCCTCACCCAATTCCCAGTCCTGCAGCACCCACCAGCACACTGGGAGTGCCCTCAGGCACCTCACCCTGCCATTCCCAGATGTCATTTTGGGTGCCATCCCTAACTTGCCAGTGCCTTTGAGGTTTGCCATGGATAGCTGGGAAGGGGAGAAGGAGCAGAGGCCAGGCAATGCCTTGATCCCATCCCCAGTGCATCCTCCCAGGAGCAGGGCTGGGCAGGAGAGCCAAGGAGAATGGCACACAGAAATGGAGATCAAACACTGGGGGCAGAGACAGACACCATGCTGCAGGGGTGCCACACTGAGTGCTGTTCTTCCCTCACATAAACACAGAAAAAACACCAGTTCTGTAATTATTTCTTCTCTAACATTATTACACTAATATATATAAAACAACTACTTATATCAAGTCACTGCCAGAATCAAAACTCTGGGGTCACAACCTGCAGGAGACTCTGCAACACATTTCAGAAACGTTTATTAAAGAATTATTAAACCAAAAAAAATATATAACTATTCTCTGCCAAATTTTCAGCTTTCCATGTACTGCACAGGTGCCTGCTGAGGCAGAACCACACTTCATTGTGGATCGGGGTTCAACATTTGGAACAAGTGGAGAATTAAAGACAAGGGCATTAAGTGAGTATTTCTAACAGATCTTTCACACCCAATCACGTTAATCACGTGTACTTACCACCAGAGTTAGGTTTCAAAGCTAATACCCTGTCAAAATAACTGGCAATTTATCACTCACAGCAATTTTTTTTTTTTGTTTTGCACGCTCTGTGCATGTGTAGCCAAAAGAAGGTGGAAAGCCTCAGGTTAGTTTGAGTTTGAAAGAATTTTCCTGTGGCCTCCATTTTCCCAACATCATACTTAAAAATTCACTTTGAAGTCTTAATAAGCAAAGGCATAGCAGTAAAATGACTGGAGCAGGTTACTGGTCTCAAACTATCAAGTCCATTTCCTCTTGGAAAGCATCTCAAAAGCCATAAAAATTAGAAGAACACCAAGGGACACCCCAAAAGCACCCAAGCAGCAAGGAAGAACTGTCCACACTCTAGCTGAGACAATGATACTGAGTCCATGAATTAGTAAAATCAAGGGAGAATGCATGAATGGGGCCTGCACAAACAGCTCTTGCATAATTAATTCCAGCTTTTCCCTCCCTCATGTGAAGTTCCAGCAGTGCCTTTACGAGCCAAAGCTCCTCCCAGGTAGCCCAGCCAGGAGCAGTGTGTGTACACTGAGCAGCTGGCCACACAAGCCAGACTCGTGCAGGAGACCCAGGCACATGTGGAAGTACAACAGGAAAATGAGGAAGTGCATGAAAGGGAATTAAAGGGAGAAAGTGGAGAACAATGACTAAATTGTTCACATACTTGAGCAAGGAGGATTGAACAGAAGGCACTGCCTGGCTCAGAGACCAAAGCAGCAACTGAGGAGAGAGGAGGGAAGGGGGGAATGCCAGGAGCAGGAATGAGGATGCAGGATGCTGCTGAGGAGGAGAGGAAAGCAGGACACTCAGCCCACATCCACCCACCCAGGCCTTCAGGCGAGGTGAGCACCAACACCCAAACCACAAAGGACAGAGAGCACAGCTCTGCTAATTAATTACAGCAAACCATTTCCAATTAAGTTGGAGGACAAAAGCCTCCCGTAGCTGGGAGCAGAGTGCATAGATTTTTCCTTGATCAGAGGCAACAAAAATCCCTGGGGTGGGATCGAGAGGGACAAGTCTGATAAGCAGCAAAGCCCCCACTTGCTTGGCTTGTGGAGAAATACGAGGGCATTGGACCAACAATTCCTGCTCATGCCATATTTCCTGGTTTCTCCATGCCTGCCCCTCCCACAACACCTTCACCTGGTTTGTTAACATCTCTCCTGAACGACCCCTGGCCCCAGCAAGCAGCCCTCAGTCCTCTTCCAGGTGATTTTTGGGTTGTCAAATTCCCCAGGAGCTCTCTTGGATAGCAGTGAATTCTCCAAGTTCGAGCAGGTTTATAGGAAAGGTCATGTTTGTCACCTAGGGAAGCAAGGGCAAACAGGTACACTCACACTGACCCTGCAGTTTGTATTTTACTTGTTCATTACAGCCCCAGAAGGAGCCCTAGAACTGGGGGCGTTTATTTCACTGTTGACAGTTTTAACCTGAGTATTTTTTCCCCCGGTGGAAACTTACACAATTTTTAGGAAAGACAAAACAAAAGCCTTCCAATACACAAACAATCCATTACTAAAAAAAAAATTAAAAATTAAAACTGTGGGAGTTCAGCCTGCGTTATGAGATGTGATATCAGGAATGCTGTTTCCTTTCTCCACTCCTTCCCTCCCCCGTGCCACTATTCCCAGCTATTTTCACAGCAGCAGCTCCGAGTGCAGAAGGTGCAGATGGCACCTGTTCATTTCTGCAAAGCTGCAAGGAGAGACCGTATTTCCAAGCAGGAGAAAGCTCATCTCAGAGCCATCAGGTGGCATTTGCTGCAGCTCTCCTGCTTTGATCCTGGCAGGAAAAAATTAAAGACGAAACAGCATCAACATACTGGTGGTCCTAGTTAATAAAAATAAAGGCAAAAGAAGTTCAGGAGAGAGAAACCTAAAAAATACAGGAAAAAGCAGTCAGAAGTCTAAGCCACTGGTGTGCTGGTAGCTACCCTCCCCCATCACCAAGGTATTTTTTTAAAGCACAGGCCATGATGGCTGGACAAACCAGCTGCAAAAAAACATTCAAAAAACCCGAAGTAACCCTTTCAACCACAGGACAAGCAAAATACCCTCCAATACCACACTGTTAGTAGGAGTTTGGGTGGCTCAATCTGAACTAACCACGCCTGCAGTGCTCTTGACAACGTGTTGGCACTGAAAAGAATAGGGGAATGCTGGAACCTGGCTGTTTCTTTCCTGGGGAGGGCTTAAATTCAGGCAGCAGAGGAAAACAGACTCATGCTGCATTTTAATGAGATACTCATCCATCCATCCATCCACCCATCCCTCTCTCCTGCCAGCTGGCCACTAACGAGGGAGCAGGTG